CCCGGACATGGGGGCCAGCCTTCTTCCAGAGCTCTACCCCTAAGGCTCCAAGGCACCTTCCTTCCCTGCACATCCACCCATCTTCCTAGATAGCACCTCACTGTGTTCCTATCTGGGCCCTGCTGGAAGCCAACCAGCACACGGTCTGCACAGGGAAGGTGATTGATTTCTAACTGGAAAACTCTGGGACCACCCTGTAGGAAGGAGAAACCCATTCGTAATGCCTTAATGTGCTGGACTCTCACTAGATTCCCCACACTTGATCATATTCCATCAACAGCCCTGCAAGGGGGATGCTATTTACCCCTCTTATGACTGTAGGTTTAAGAGAGTGAAGTGACTCCCCCAAGGTGACAGCCCCACATGACCCCACAGTTTCATTTCCTAGTAACAAGAGTGTGACTGTGCACCTGGGCGCCTGGGCACAGAACCGTGTGTGGGAAGATTAACTGGGGACTGTGCTTCCTTCAGACCCCAGGCTGCAAAAGCATCTTCATCCTGAAATGCACTTCAGGAGTGTAATCAGTTATGATGACTTCTTCAGCACATCATTACATCTTTTTCTTTTGTTTTAAATGATGCCAATTCAGAAGTTCATTCTTATAATCCTAGAACTGGGGGAGATGGTTAGCAAGTCTGAGCTCAATCTGGGCGATTTAGTAAGATTGTCAAAATTTAAAAAGAACTGGGCAGGTAGGTTGGTGCAGAAGCCCTGGGTTCAACCCTTAGTATTCAAAACAAATTTTTAAATTAAAAAAACAGAAGGGAGAACATCTAACTACCCTAGGTCACGCTCATTGGCAGTGGTAGAGAAAGCAGCTGAAGTCTGGTGTCCTAAGAGGGGGACTCAGGTCCACAGGGGGATGAAGCCCCTAAGCACCGACAGTCAGGAGGGGCAGAACAGAACCAAGGGGAAGAGAGGCCAGAGAGGATGAAGAGACGCCACAGCAGGGCTGTGGAACGAGACCAGAGATCCTGGAACTTTCTGATTGGGGTTCTCCACAATTCTTCCATGACCAAATGTCATAACTGTCATTTGCCCCTCTCCTTCTGTCCCTGCCTGAATGCTCCTTCATCCTTCAATGCCTAGTGACCCATTTTGGGGATGCCAATAACAATGGCATATAATACTTCCAAATTCTCCATCTTTGAATTTTTTAGGGAACCTGTGATCCTGCAAAAAATCCCAATCTTCAGGATAAATAGGTTAACATTCGCTCAACTGTTTCCTTTGTTGAACCTCTAAATACATCCTCTAAATAAATGTATTTATGCAGTGCATGTTCAGTTCCTGAGCCATCTGCACTAATCCACTGCTTAGGACATGTTCCTCCCCAAGACTGTACACAGTGATGGACTGCGATGCCATTTGGTTTGTTTGCTCCCTTCTGAGCAGTCTCCACACCGGAACATTTTCTCCAAGACCAATTCCGGCTCAGCTGGATGAAGCAATGCTGCATTATTAAGCTGAGCAATTTTATAACGAGTCAACCAAGAGTTCAGTCCTGCTGTTTTCTAAAACGTTAGGCAGCAGTATTCCAAGCCTGCCCTTCATCACAGGGGTGGTGACTGCAGGCTGCTCTCTGGAGAGCAGGCTCCTCCACCTCCTGTGACCTCAACTGGCTGCCCCATCCACTCTAACAGGGACTACACTGAATGCAGATGCACCAAATGCCACAAAAATGCTGTCTGGGCAGTGCAAGGGTCTAGATCAGAGACACTGTAAGAGCCCTGTGGCACTGGCTATGGCTCAGGGAGCCCGGCTTGAGGAGCCCCGCCCTTCTCTCAACCCACTGCAGGTGGCTTTGGTGTCGCTTGGTCCCAACACTCCAGTGGCACTCTTGGCCAAGAAGGGATGGATAGGTTCTGGTGGGCAGACTTTAGAACTCAAGAGTCTCTACAGAAGGACAAACGGCCACCATGCTGGAAGCCATACCCTCTGAGACAGGACCTGCAGCCCTCTCATTCTCTCCATTCCCTGTGTCTAAAGCAAGTCCTTTATCCACTCCTTCCAGACAAGGCGCACTGTTCTTCCCTTGGGCACCATGTCTGCCATCATTCCGTCCTACGAAGTCACATCTCCACTGCCCTCTCTACCTGTACAGCTCAACTTGGCATTTCTACTGGCCTTCCATGTTCTTGTGCCAACCGCAGTTTGGGCAGCCAATCCAAATGCAGAGAAATCCATTAGATGCACAGATACCTTCCTCACATTCCTAAATTCACTGCTTAAACATTACACTGTTACGGTTATAGAAAAGAACTCCTAGAAAAATCTACACTATGTCTAAAGACTCCCTAAAGTGTAATAAAGCAAAGATGTATAAGCAGAACACAATTCTTGTGCCCAGGGTCTTTGATGATCCAAAAAGTGCAGGTGGCATGGCTCGCCAAGAGCTGCCACAAGCCCTCTGCCCTCCAACAGAGGATTACAAACCAGCATATATGATTTATTCTTCAGGTCCCATTCACAATGATGATACTAAAGCTTCATTTCCATTCCACAGACATTCAATATCAGGGCTCAGAGAGCATGGATTCCATGCAACAAAGAGCAGAGCCTGTGTCCACCCTGCCCCTGTGCCCTGTCTTCTGGAGGTATTAGGGATGGACAGCTTAACAGCAATTAATGGTACTCAACATCGGGAACAGTTTGGTTTAGCACAGCCACATGCACTTGCTCACACCCCATCCGTGACTCCTTTTACAGTGAAAGGACAGTGCTGTCCAGTGACAGAAAATACATGCCTGCAAAGCCCAAAATATTTACCCCATCACTTTTCAGAAAGTGTGCCAACTCCTGCTCTAAGTGACGCTTTAGATACAGACACGCTTTTGGAATACTCTCTTCACAGTGACCCCCCCTGTCACCTACTGGACACTGCTCTCTTCCTATGCGTTGCAGCTGAGTTGCCCAGACAAACACAGGCACGCAACTCTGCGTCGCCACCTCACAGGGCTTGTGCCTCCATCCAGAGGGACTAATGCAACATCACCGCCCACCTGCACTGGGAACCAAGGCCAGGCATGGCACACAGAGCAAACTCTGTTAGCCCAAGTCCTGGGCTTGCTCTGCTTTGCTCTCCAAAGCCTTGCTGCCACTGAGAGGCCACTCCAAGTGACCCCACTATTCCTCCCCTCCTGACTTTAAACCCTTTCTCTGTTTAGTGTATTTGGGGAGAAGAACCCAATGCCCAACTCACACAAATGGGATGAACAGGCAGACTAAACAGCAGTGTTTGCTCAAGCCAGAATTGAAAAGCTAAGTCTTAGAGGTCCACCGGCCACCGGCACATGGTGAAGTCAGCCTCTTGGCCAGGTTCCTTTATCTACAGCACAGCGCCCCCACATGGTGCCAGAGGGAAGGACGGCTTTCCTGAAAAGCAGGCACAGATGCCATCAGAGGAGGCTCACTCGGCAAGGACTTTAAATCAATGTCCTCCAGATTTCCAGCCTCTGCACCTTCACAGATAGTTCCTTGCTGGAAACTTTACACCAAGAAGTATAAACTCTGACCTCTACAGAAACTCACTAAACCGCAGCAAATGGGATTCAGATGTTTCCACACACAATGCAGTGATGTGACCTAGACTTGAAACACTTTGGCAAAAATAGGAAAAATGATGTGGGCCTTTGAGTCCCTCCCAGAACATGATACAGGCTTGACCTGAGCCCCACAGTGATCAGAGCCTTTCTCACCCCTGCCTCAGCACTCCCCACCCACACCCCACATCCTCTGCCCCCTTCCACTTTAACATACCCCTTCCCTAGTCTGTATCATTTTCCGTGTTCCACCAAATCTGCCAATTTCTCCTAGTCAAGCAAAAGCGAATCACACCTTAAATTCAGAACTCTGAAAAGTCTTGAAAGGAGAATCAGGTTGATCCCAGGAAAATACACCCAGGACCCCTCCACCTCATATCCCTCCATACATGCCCATCACTCCATAGTGCTCAGGAGAAAGCAGAAGGCTCACATAAAAACCTGGACCTCCATATTTTCTGGCTGTGCTGCAATTCCCAGGAACTTGCGGGTAAGGGCCAGAGAATTCCAGATAGTGGTGCAAGATAAGAGGGAAGAGAAGCAATGTCCCTGTGCCTGGGAAGGATGGACACAAAACAGTATCCGAATCTGTCTCTGTAGACTCAATCGTGACACAACATAAAGAAACGACCCACGCATTTCACGCTTTCAGTCAATACCAGGCTTTGCAGGGGCAGCCCATCTGCCAGCCATGTGCGCTCCTGAGGGGCACCAGGCACAAGGCGAGAAGTGTTTGGCTGGGTACCAGCGCAGTCAAGTGATCAAGGGTGAGTCCAGACAAGGCAAAAGTACTCAAGAACTCGCCTCACTCAAATACTCCAAGTACTTGTCACAGGTTAGGACAGCGACTTGGAGGAGGGGGAGCTCTAGGACTGTCCTTGAGGATGGATGCCAAAAAGAATCAAACAAGGATGCTGACAACTCTCCCCTTCTAGTTACTACTTTTCAATTAACAGTGGGGTTACACAGGTGCCTGAGGTCCCTGCCAAGGTTTCTTTTCCAGGCATCCAGACTCAAAAGTACAGAAGGGAGGTCAACACCACCCCCACCCGAGTAGCGGAGATACACAGCAGAGCTGGGTGTGCACACACACACCTGTGCACTGCAGCATTCTCTACACCTGAGCAGATACGCCCTCGCTCTGGAGGCCTGACAGTCTTGGCGCTACTTCCAGGGCCGACAGCAGCTCACCATCTGTGCAAGCCCGCCTCCCTCAGACTCCGCACCCCTGGAGCTCCAACCTGAGAGAGGGGACCTCTCTTTCCACTCACTTTGCGTGGAGTTTAGAAAGGTCGGAATGGAGGTAGAAGGCGAGAGAGGGTAAGAAATAAGTTCTCTTTAGAGCCCTGGAGCCTAGCTTTCCCACATCCCGGACGTCCACCCTACCCCTCCGCGGGGACCACCCCGGGCGTCACAACCGACCGGACTGGCAGACTTGGAGGGGGCGCGTGCAGTACCAGGCCGCCGGCGGCGCCGCAGGCGCTGAGCGAGACCAGAGAGCCGGGGTGACCCAGCACGCGGCCCGAGTAGAAGCAGAGCTCGGTGGCGGGGCGTCCGCGGCGCCCGGTAGCCCCCGCCTCCTCCACCTGGAAGCCACGGGACAAGAAACGCAGGTCGCGGCGCAGCTGCAGGTACAGGTCGCGCCCGAAGGCCGGCAGGTGCAGCAGCAGGGCGCGCTCTCCGGGCCGCGCGCGCGGGGCTGCGGGGGGCGCGCGGGGTCGCCGCCGCCTTCGGGGTCCCGGAGCGCCGGGCAGCGGCGACAGGTGCACTTCGTCCGGGCGCACCCGCCACGGGAGCACCACCTCCACGTCGGCCGCCGCGTCGCCGAGGGCTGTGGGGAAAGAGGAGCCGCGTCAGCGCCGGCCCGGAGCTGCCCGGCCAGGGCTGCCCTCCCTACCCGCGCCCCAGCAGCCCACGCCGTCCGGAGCCCCCTCGCGGCCGTCACCCCGGGGAAGTGCCTGGAGTGGCCGCCAGGCTCCCGCCGAGAGCGCGGCTGGGCCGAGAGCGCCCGCGGAGCGCAGCCCTTTCCCGGCCACCGCCTCCTCCCCAGCGCTGTCAGCGTCGGCCGCTGCGGCCGGGGCGCCTCGCTGCGCACCGAGAAGAGGGAGTGCTACCTGTGCCCGGATCCAGTCCCCAGACCAGCAGCAGCAGCAAGGGCAGCACCAGAGGAGGCAGCAGGGCGCCGTCACACATGGTACTCGGGACCAGCAGCCCCTGATCGCGGCGGTGAAGCAGGAGCGCGCGAGGCTGCTGCGCCAGCCGGGAGTGCAGCGCTGCAACCTTCGGAAAAAGTAATTAGCGCTGCGGACAAACCCAACGTGGTCAATCCCGAGCCCCGCCCTCCTCTCAGAAAGCAGGAGCTGATTGGGCGCTCGCTTGACTCTACCCCTCCTCCTCCTTCCCTATTGGTTACGAAGGGTCGACGCCAAAGTGCGTAGTTAGGTTGTAAGCATTTTCTTACACGTGGTTTCTGGACAGTAGCGGAGACCTGACACCAGGTGGCGTTCGGTGGCCGACAGGGACTGTGAGATCAGGACGCCGGACCAGACTTGAGTTTGTCATTTTGGAAATTCTCTCCCACTCTGCTGCCCGGCTTCCTAAACAGCCAGAAATCGTCCCGGCCAAGCAGATACATCCCCCAAAGCACATTCTTCTGCATCTAAAGTGAAACTAGGTGTTGGCGGCTGGGAGAACTCCCAGTCCAGTTTCCTCTACAGCTGAGACTACACCTGATGGCTTTTCTCCACAGTGTTTATCCAAGGTATTTATCCAAACCCTTCCCACCTGCTATGATCTTTATCCTGCTGGAAGCCACGGAGACCCCTCAAGGTAACTACCCTGTTTAGACCGGGCGAATGAGGAAGACCAAGCTCTCTTGTGGAGATTGGTATCTTAGCCAGGTTTTACAGGGTAAGAAATTAGAGAACAAAATAGCAAAGCCTGAATTTGAATCCAAATTTTCACCAACAGAATGAGTGGATTCTCATAGTTTGACTCATGGTTCCAGACATCTCATCCATTCCTAATCACCAGCTCCAAGAGAGAAAAGGCCTGGTGGGAAGGTAAACTGCTCTCATCAGGAAGCCAGGAAGCAGGGCGAATGGAGGGGCTCGGGAGAGAGATACACCCTTTGAGGTCACACCCTTAATGACCCTCTCTACTAACCAGTCTCCACCTCAAACAGCACACTTTCCTGTACATAGAGCCCCTGTGATTCGATCGCCTTGCAAAAGCATAACCTCTGAACATGTGAGACTTGGGGGTACATTCTAGATCTGAACCCTAAAAGTAAGCACCCAGTCTTAGGTCTTCCTTCCCCTCCCTGTCCTGTTTCCTCAAAGCAAAAAGGTGACCATCCCCTACTGAACCCTTTGTTTAAGACCTCAGAATCTAAATTTCATCAGAGGATTCTGCGTCATCAAAAAGTCCCCAGAGGCAGGGTGAACACTGTCTAGTTTTTGCCAGGTTAGTGCACTGAGACCAGCAGCAGGTTTTGCCAGATTAGTGCACTATAGCCCTCTGCAGAGGCTGACCGTACAAGGCACCGTGGTCACTGGCACAGGAACTGTCCCTTGCTGCTTCATGGTGGCCCAAAGCATGGGCCATTTCGTGCTGCTGGCCAGACTTGGGGGCTTTGTTTCTCCTTGATTGTGTTCAGGTCAGCAAAACTTTTGCAACACAGAAAGGGAAGATGAAGCTTCTTACTACAGCTTTTTATGGGGGGTGGGGGAAGCTACCACAAGGCCTGCCACTAAAAGCCATGAGGTATGGACTGCACCAACTCACAGGATGATTATTTGCCCTTCGGAGTCAGCCAGAAACAGCCATCACCAACCTATGGGGTGTCTCTCAAATGCTAAAATGAGTCAACAGCAACATGAGAATGAAGACAAATGCAAAACAGCATTTCATCCCCAGAATGACCGAAACATGGAAATGTTGAGTATTTGAGAGGCTACTCTCCTGCCCTCCAGAAGGAGTGGAAACTGGCACAGACACTTTGATGAATGGCTAGGTGAGCTAGTAAAAACAAAACTGCAAACACCTCATCGCTCTATGATCTTGTTACCACCCAAACACAGGCATATGTGACAAGAATACTCATCATAGCACTCTAGTAAGAGCAAAGAAGTACAAAACCAGAATGCCTGTCACTGGAGAAGTGGCCACGAGAACACCGTACATCAATGAAAGAAATGCAAAGAGCTCACATATGTAACAGTATGAACAGATCAACAGGATTGGCCTGTTTTTTGCTTTTTTAAATGTGAAGCTGCAGAGTGATTCAGAGTTGGTAAGTGCCCTCTGGACTGGCCAGCAGGAGTCCAGGCCATTCCACCCCTACCAAAGTACAGCTATCTTCTTTTGCCAATGAGGGCCGCGACTGTGTACTGTGACCAGACCCAAGACAGAGCGAGGCTGCCATGCACTGCTGATCATCATGGAGCCTGGCCAGCAGCCTCGACCGTGTTGATGGCAGCATCCTAGCCGTGAGAGTGGTTTCTTTTTCAGAGAGTTTCAATTGTCTTCAAATGCCTGGACAAAACGAAGTCACCCGTGCAAAGCCTGTGACACTGAGCGCTGATCCCATACCGTTTGTGGAAAGCAGGTGTTTTGAAGCACGTCGTGGCTCTGAAAATCCCGTCTCAGGGTCTGTGTAGTATAAATGTATCTAAGTCAACTACCTGGTGGACTTTATAGATAAATTAGTTGAGAAATAAAAAAGCATTTGCCAGTAATCATTTAAATTTTCAAACAGTTGAGCTAATCTTTTAACCAGTGTTGAGTGGTAAGGCCACTCCCTGCCGAGGACCTGGCTACTTCCTCATGAAGGATCCACACAGTCTTCAGAAAAGACCAATGCTCTGATTCAGGGGCAGCTCACTTAGATGCAACGTGCCCCACGTTGCTCCTATTAAAGTGTGCATTTTGGCAGGGGGAAGGTGGGTGGGAGTCGAAGGCACATCTGTGTGTCACTCTCATTACAGTTATGATCCAGTCTTACAGCAAACTGTACCTCTGCAGTGGCGATAAAGCGACACTCCTGGGTGAGCAAAGGGAGCAGGATTGTACACTTAGTAACTTAACTTCCAGAAACGTCCATGTTCAGTCTCAGGCCAAGGAAAAGTCAGTAGCAACTGCATGCATCCCTTCCTGAGGCTTTAGTTCCTTCAATCCCTTTTAGTGCCTGCTCTCTGTGTGCCCTGAATTGAGATGACCGCAAATGGAGAGCCATGGCACATAAATCGCATCCTTTGTCCGTTGTCTGCCGCAGAGGCCTCTGCCACGAAGCAGGCACACTCACAGATGCTGAGCATTGAGGAACTGAAAAGGGACTGCTCTGTGCCCCATGTAGTGAAGGAAGACATGGGCTACAGGAGAAATTACACAGGATGTAATGCGGGGCAAAGGAGGGCGGCTGTTGTCTGCCCCACCCCGATTAAAACATAAACTCCAATATCTAAAATATTAGGAATCAGAAATTCAAACAAGCATATCTGTACTATACCCATGTGCATAGCAACATTATTCATAGTCTCCAAAAGACAGTCACCAGCTCCGTGCTTCCTGGTGGGTGGTGGGGTGAGCATTGCGCGGTGTGAGTGTCTGATCAGCCTTTGAAAGCCGAGGAGTTCTGGCACAGGCTACAGCGTGAAGGAACCTTGAGAACATTATGCTGAGCGACCCAAACCAGTCACAAAGGACCAATCTGAATGCTTCTACCCATGTGAGGTACCTACAGTCATCAGAGTCATAGGCGGACAAAGGATGGTGGTCACCTGGGGGTCACCAGGGGCTGAGGAAGAAAAATGGAGTTTGCATTAAATCGGTGCAGAGCTGCAGTCTGGGTGGTTGAAACAGTTCTAGAGATGGGAGGCGTGATGGGTTCTCGATAGGGTGAACGCACTGACAGCGGCCAAATCTAAAATGGCTCAAATGGCAAATTACATGTTGTATACTTCCTATTATGCTAAAAATACTTTAAAAAAGGAACCACTGCCAGGTCGGTGGTACATGGCTGTAATCCCAGCACTTAGGAGGATGAGGCAGGAGGATCACTGTGAGTTTGAGGCCAGCCTAGGTGACAAAATGAATTCAATACCAGTCTGAACTGTGTAGCAAAACCCTATCTCAAAAAAAATGGAAAAAAAAGAGTTATTTTTGTTTATCTCATCTTATACATAAAATGCCCTGTCTTGATTTTGTGGAAGAGGTGGGCTTAATCCAATTTTACAGAAGATGTGAGGTCTGCAGGGAGATGAAAAGCCACACAATTAGCAGATACTATTCAGCTTCCCACTTGCGCTCCTGAGCAGCTCGGTTCTGATGACCTTTTCCCATCATGTTCCTGGGACTGGCCCCAGGAAGCTGGTGATCTTGGCTCCCATGGGTGCTTCACCCACAGTGGCCCCACTTGAATCAAGGTAGCCATCACCCTCACATAACTGCTGCTGTGGAGAGCATACAGTCCTGAAAGCAGGATGCATTGAGTCAGGTGCCACCTGGATTAAAGCCCATAATTAGAGACAAAAGCCAGACTGGAATGAAGAGGACGGGAGCACTGAGGCCAAACTTCCCCCCTTAAATCCCCCACCCAAGCTTTCTTTAGCTGGCGACAGGTGTGCCCAGGTACTAACACCCAGGTGTAACTTCATGTTGTAGGTGGAAAAAGTCCCTGTGCTCTAAGATCACTGGGTATTGGGGGATGGAAGGTGAGATTCCAGGGAAAGAGGGGGCAGAGTGCATGATAGTCTCCTCTGAGCTGACCTGAATCCCCTATTATCCTTGGGAGATATGAGCCATGAACCCCAGTTGATACCTGAAACTCTGGATAGTACCAAAGCCTATATACATGCATTTTTCTATACATAAATACTTCTGATAAAGTTTAAAGTATAAATTAGTACAGTCAAATAGTTATAACAATACCTAATAATAAAATAGAACAATTATAATAATATAATGTATTAAAAATTACATAAATGTCCTTCCCCTGAAAAATCTTCTGTTGAACACAAACTCTGTGATACGATGAGAGGATGAGAGTCAACCTGAGACCCAAGATAGCTACCAAGTGAGTAAGGGGTGGGTAGAGTATACAGCCTGGACACAGTGGACTAAGAGATGGTCCGTGTTCCCAGCAGGACAGAGCAGGATGGCATAAATTTCATCACCATATTCAGAATGGCAATACAATTTAAAACTTAGGAATTGTTTGCTTCTGGAACTTTTTAAAAACTTAGATTACAGTTGATAAGGAGTAACTCGAACCACAA